AAAGAGCTGCTCAGCATCCACAGAGCTGCTCAGCATCCACAGAGCTGCTCAGCATCCACAGAGCTGCTCGGCATTCAAAGAGCTGCTCAGCATCCACAGAGCTGCTCAGCATCCACAGAGCTGCTCAGCATCCACAGAGCTGCTCGGCATCCGCAGAGCTGCTCTGCATCCACAGAGCTGCTCTGCATCCACAGAGCTGCTCGGCATCCACAGAGCTGCTCGGCATCCACAGAGCTGCTCGGCATCCACAGAGCTGCTCTGCATCCACAGTGCTGCTCAGCATCCAAAGAGCTGCTCAGCATTCAAAGAGCTGCTCAGCATCCACAGAGCTGCTCAGCATCCACAGAGCTGCTCGGCATCCACAGAGCTGCTCAGCATCCACAGAGCTGCTCAGCATCCACAGAGCTGCTCTGCATCCACAGAGCTGCTCTGCATCCACAGAGCTGCTCTGCATCCACAGAGCTGCTCGGCATCCACAGAGCTGCTCGGCATCCAACCATGGGCTCCAGGGTTCTTCTGGGGTTAAGGTTGAGGATCTTCATTGCAGACCTCCAGCTGTAGGACCAGAGATGAGGCCTTTTTCTTCCACATAATGAAACAGAACTGCTTGAATATTTCCATGTTTTTACACCTTTAGGGGGCGCTGTTCCTCAGGCTCTCAGGTGGATCTGATAAAACAGCCCAGTTTCAGCTCCAGGTTGTAAGGTGCAGCAAAGTACTGCTGCTGCCTTGCAGCAAGAAGGTTGTGGGTTCGATTCCCAGCCTGAGGTCTTTCTGCATGGTGTTTGGATGTTCTTCCTGAGGATGCATGGGTTCTCTCTCTCTGGGCTTCATAAAGTCTAACATCATGATTATTAGGTTAATTGGCTTCTCTCAGCTGTAAATCATTTAGAGAAATTGTCTAAAATGTGTGAGTGTTCATGCTTTATGTCTTCATCTGTCTCACGGAGGTTGGCGACCTGTCCAGGGTCTACCCCACCTGTCAATCATAGACTGCCGGAGCAAAGCATTATGGCATCATGGCGGTAGAGCTGGTGACCCCACCGCCACCCTGACGAGGGTCGATGATCGGCTCTCAGCAACATGTGGGACAAATTTCTAAATTTGATTTTGCTGCTTTTGAAGTAGGAGATTCACTGATGTAGCTGAAAGGGCGAACATCCGTCCATCATCCCCATTCATCTGGATAAATGAAACTGAAATTGTGTGCATACTAGGGAGGCATGATATATTGCTGTTGGCATCAAAATCAGCTGCTTTTCATCCTTTTTTTATACATTAATGTAAAACTACCCATACATATAAATATCAGTTTTAATATCATTTTTGGAAAATATAAAATATATAGGAGCATCCGCCTCCGCCCTTAAAGGGACCCCACCAACTTTCATTACCAAGTTACACCCTTGGTCTGATCCTTTGTCTTTTTTTTTTTAATGGAGAAATCTGTGCAGCCAAGCATTTCCATTTATCCATTCTTCAATCCAGTTTAGTTCCGTATCACCAGCGCCACCTATGGGCAGATGGAGCTACTATGACAAAAAGAAGCAGAGAAAAATAGTGCAGTCAGAGAATAGAAAGTAAATGATACAGTGGGAGTAAAAAGTGGTCCCTATGTCCTCCAGCAGTAGAAGCCTAAATCAGCTACTAGAGATCGATCAGTGGGGGTGGGGGTGTATATAGTGGACTTTGTAGTGAACTCAGCTGACCGACCGTTTGGACAGATGATCACTACTTTTAGCTCCCCATTGGTCATGTGACTTCGGCTCCTCGCACAGTGCCTGCGCCATCTTTGTACTTTCTCGCCCCTCAAAATAAATCCCATAATGCTTTGCGAGGAGAGATTTGGGATATACCTGCTTTGTCTGGTGACCATGGATGATCACTACTTCTCAAGGTGCATTATGTAATTTTTCATCCACTAGACATTCAGACACTCATATAAAAACTGGCGTAACCATTACATAGTGCTCTGCATGGTGATTAGACACAACCAGGGTGTCGGCCTCAGACACTGGTACTTGGAACCATATAAGTTCCTGTAAGGAACTTCCATCCATTTTCCATCACACTTATTTATCCCAAGCAGGGTCACGAGAAGCGGGTCCACCATGGACAGGTCCACTGTGGACAGGTCCACCAGTCCATCGCAGAGACAAACGACCATTCACACACTCACACCTAAGGACTGTGGGAGGAACCTGGAGTACCCGGAGAGAACCCCGGCATGCTCAGGGAAAACATGCAAACCCCATGCAGAAAGACCGGGAACCGAACCAGGAACCTTCTTGCTGCAAGGCAGCGGTGCTGCTCACTGTGCTGTTAGGAAGCTAACGAACGATAAGATCTCTGATAGGAGATGCTTATTTATGGCTTTATGCACAAAATGCAGGATTTTAAATTCATTAAATTAAGAAGAAGCTAAAATAGTTTTGGATTTTCAATGGAACTCAGGCTAGCATCTACTATTTTAGTATCTAGATTTATTTTTCTTAACTCCTCTTTAAAACATAATTTATTGTTTAGATGTTACAACCTATATTAAGAACAATGAGGCATTAAATGGATGGAAGTTCACCCAGACCTCCAGTCTCATCTCCAGACCCTTTTAAAGACGTTTCATCAGATCCAGAACAAACAGACTGGATCCTCTCAGTTAGATCAAGCTGCTGTTTGAAAGATTTTCTTATTTTTATTTTCCTTCTGCATCTTATTTACTGAATCAGCCTGCAGCAGCTCGGCGTGGCGGCCAGCAGGCGGCGCTGTGGAGCGCTCAGTGGGAGATGTTATTTGTGGAGGCATCAGTGAGTCACTGGGCTGCCTTTCAGCCCACTCAGCCGTCTGTCCGCCGGCGGTGGGCCGCAGACACGAGCAGAACCACCAACGGTCACGACAGCGAGCAGAACCTCCCTCCCACTGCAGCTGAGTGGGCCCAGCTGCACCAGCTCAGCATCTGGCCTGGTTCTGGTTCTGGTTCTGGTTCTGGACTCTCTGGATCAGTGTTGATCTGTTACTGGGGGGGGGGGGGGGGGATAATCAGAACCTCTGTAGTGATCCAGCATCTGCCTGACATCATGGCTCGGTGCAGCAAGGTGACCTCATACTCGATGACATCACCTCACCCTCCAAGCGATGATGTCATCTTTCCCAGATGTTGTGATGTTCTGAACAGACTCCCCCCTCCCCCGCCTGGTGCTGCAGCGGGGAGCATCTCTGTGTGCTAATGCTGCATCCTGGACCTCGTTTCACTCCCAGCTCACACACAGGGGGTGTGGCCTCTAGAGCTCTCTGCTGATTGGTTGGAGGTGACATCATCGTTTGGGACGTGCAGGTTTCTGTCCTGACTGCTCTCTGATAGAAACACTCCATTACATCATTGGGGTGATTGCTGCAGTGCATCATGGGAGCTGCAGTTCCACCGGTGGGTCTGCAGGACTGCAGTAAATAAATTGATCTCCAGCAGAGACTGCAGGCCTCACTGAGGAGGTCAAAGGTCATGTCATTAGTGATAGAAACAGACCGGTTCTTCTGTCTGCGGGTTTTTTAGGACTGAAAAATATTTGCAGTAGAATAACTTAACAGCAAGGGTTTGATTTTAATTTCATAACTTTAGGTTTTAGAGACGGACCTTCAGAGAAGAAAGATGTTCAGGTTCTGATGCGTGTCGCTGAGCGTAGAACCAGAACCTCTGCTAAATGGACCAATGAGATTATTTCTGGAAATAGAAATAAAAAAAGAAAATGAAACAAATTTCCAAACTTGCACATCTGCATGTTTCTAAGACTCTTTCAAGGTCTGAAACTCAGATTAATATTTATGAAAAAATGATTCATCAATCTGCCCTAAAAACAATACGGCGCTGAAATAAGGTGCTGCCATCGAAGGCCCACAGCTGCTGAGGTTGGACCTTCAGAGAGAGGAGCAGAAATGTAGATGAAGCTGTGGAGGAGACTGCTGGAGGTTCTACAGGGAGCTGGAGGAACGTTTGTGGCAGCAGACGTTCTGTTTGTGGCGTTTCTCAGCCGCTGTGGTTCATGTTGTGTTTGTGGCAGCAGACGGAGGCGTCTTCCAGTCAGGATGAGTAACGCTTCACTGTCAGCTTTAATTTTAGAGCTGACATTTCCTCAGAAGCACATGGAGCCAGCAAACCGGATCGACCCGGAAAAAAGCAGAACCTAATGATCCACTCGTGTCTAACTTTGGTTTTTCTTTTTAATTATCAATCCATCCTGTTTCCTTCATGCTTATCCTAACCTGATGTTTATCTCCAGCTGTCTACGGGCGAGAGGGGGGTCCACCCTGGACAGAGAGGGGGGGTCCACCCTGGACAGGGAGGGGGGGTCCACCCTGGACAGGGAGGGGGGGTCCACCCTGGACAGGGAGGGGGGGGTCCACCCTGGACAGGTCTCCAGTCCATCGCAGGGAAACACAGAGAGAAACAACCATTCACACCTAAGCAGAATTTAGAGAAGCCAATTAACCTAACTCTCATGTTTTTATGACTGTAGGAGGAAGCCGGAGTACCCAGAGAGAACCCACCATGCTCAGGGAGAACATGCAAACTCCATGCAGATTGACCCTGGGTTGGGAATCAAACCTGGAACCTTCTTGGTGCAAGGCAGCAGTGCTAGCCGCTTCGTTTCTGAGCAGCTGCTTGTTTAATTAAAGGAACTTTTTTTATCTGCAAAGAAAAAGCAAACTCTCAAACCAGCTTCTGTCACCCCGTCGGTAAAACGTTCTGTTTGCTGAATATTTCTACGATTCTGGACTGAATCCAGACAGAACGTCCTTCTTATCTGAGCAGGTCCATTAAATGCGTGAACATGTAGGTGAACATCAGGATGTTCTCTCTTCTATCTGAACCCAAAAGTTCTGATTCTGATGAAGTCGATCAGATTCTGGTTACTTAAACAGAACTTTGCTCCTCTGCTTGCAATTTCTGATGAGGAGGTGAAGAAGAAATATCACCCACACCTCCTCCCCCTCCCTGTGCCTCCCTGCACCAATCATAGCCCAGCATCCATGCTGTCCAATCAGAGCGCGGCCTGGTGATGTCATGCAGCAGCTGTGGTGTGGTGCTGATGCTGCTGAGCTGCAGATCTTCAGAGGACAGAGACCAGAGCGGCGAGGCTGCAGGGTGAGTTTCTCCTCAGAGAACAAAGCAGATTTCCCTCCTCATCCTCTCCTCCTCATCCTCTCCTCCTCATCCTCTGCTCCTCCATCCTCTCCTCCTCCATCCTCTCCTCCTCATCCTCTGCTCCTCCATCCTCTCCTCTCTCTACCTCTGCTGTCTTTCTGCACCGCTTCGTGCATCTTTCTCTCTGCTCCTCTGTCCCTGTGGGCAATGCGCTCATTGAAAACAATGACATCATCCTTCTGTGCACGCTCTCATGCATTCACTACGACTCTTTGCTTTCATCTTCTCGGTTTGATTGATTTGATGCAGTTTTCCAGTCTGAATAGGTTTCTGTGGTTGTTCTGGTTAATTTCTGCAGGCTGCAGTTTCTGCAACGATCTTGATGTGAAACAGAACTGGTTCCTGCTTCAGATGTTTTTAGGCGGCTTCCTATTTGCTGCAGGAAAAGTTTCTGTTCTCTCCTCTGGTTCTGGGATGTTGTCTAAAGTCAGGGTAGATGTTTCTGCAGCTTTCCTCCTCCGTCTGAGTCACAGATCATCTCATCTCTCCATAAGATCCATTATTGACTGTCTGAATCTGCTGAATGACTCAGCTGAGCTGAAAAAGTGAGAAAAAATGTATTTTTAGAGCTGCTGCAGAAACTGGTTCTGATCTGATGTTCAACCTGAACCAAGTGAGGCGCCTTCAGGTTCAGCTGTAATTTGGAACATTTCAAATATCAAATGGACTCTGCTTCTCTGCTGCATGAATGAAATGTTTGGTTCTTTCTGTTCTGTTTCCAGGAACAGGTTCTACCTCACCACAGTGTCTTTGACTGAGAGCAACAGGAAGATGACCCTCAGAGGTACGCAGCCTCTCTGAGCCTTTGGCTTTCAGCTGTTCTTCTTTCCTGCAGCTTTAATCTGTTTCTCTTCTGCTCAATCTTCCAGCCTACAGAGAGAAGATGCGAGAGCTCCCCCTGGTGTCCGTTTTCTGCTCCTGCATCTTTGCAGAACCCAGGGAACAAACAGCAAACAAGAAGGAAGGTCAGCAGCCTGTACGGGTGGGTGGGGGGGATGGGGGGGGGGGGGGGGGGGGGGGGTTAATTGATTCCCAGTTAAACTCCAGTTTTAGTTTACATCAGTTGTTTATTCAGATAGAAACCATTAAAGTTCATGTTTATACAGCAATAGGTCCAATTAATGCCACAGCAGGTCAGGACCTCTGGGCTCCACCTTCAGGTTTCAGAGGTGTGGAAGTTCTCTTCCTGCTCCAAGGCGACATGGTCAGACATGATGATGTCATGAGCTGCTTTCCCATTGGTCACTGGTTATAGCTGTTTCACTGACAGAGCAATGAAATTCACTCTCTGCATTTAACCGAACCCCTCAGGGAGCCATGTGAGGATAAGGGTCTTTGCTCAGGGACCCAGAGTGGCATTCTGTGGGAGTGGGTTTCAATCTCACAACCTCAGGATTCTAAGCTCTATGCCAGAGGTCACAGATTAGCGGACTGCCGTCAGGATCCGGATCCACCTGCTGGCTAATCTGGACCCAACCTGATTTAAAACATTTATAAATTACTGCATGTTGTCTGACAACAGTGTCTAATTTGACTTGCGCCTCTTCTCCTGTTAATACGGTAAAGCCCTGGGGAGCGTCCGGCTCCAGGCTGCACGTGATCCAAATGAGCCAATGAGCTGTCAGTCTGGGTTGCTGCTGCTGCTACTTTTAGACCCAGCAGGCAAACCTGTGGCAAGCCGGGCGATGGGAAAGAAGGAGAAGACCATGAGAAAAAGAGAGCAGAGAAAGTGTGGACTGCTGGAAGAACTGCGGTGAACTGGTGAAAGAAAAGTGAAATGGCGTGCTCAAAGATGACCCTGCACATTTAGAGGATGTTTGGCTCAACCTGCTGCTGTGAAGCAGGATTCTCCACCATGAACAGAATCAACAATAAATCTGGATCCAGGCTCAAAATGAGCTCCTTGATATGTGCTTGAGAATGGCTTAGTCTCCGGTTAAACCCAGGTTTAAAGCCTTGCAGGGCAGCCTAAAGCCCACTGCCAACATTAAGACAGAAAAAAGAAAGAAAATAACAAACCATCAGTTCAAATTTAAATATTATAAATTTTATAGATTTTAAAATGGAAAATTTTTCTTTTATTTCATTTTTGATTTTTCTTTTATACTTTAATTATGTTTAAAGTAACAGATTATAACTAAATGTCTCTGGACCTTTACTGGTTGATGGTTTTCTTTTTTCTTGCTCTACGCCCAAACCACTTGTTCACACATCAATTTCAAACAGATGTTATCAGGGTCAAAAAATGACACTGGCTGAACTCTAACTTTGATCCAAATCGACTAACAAAGTAGACACAGTTTTACAGTAATCATGGATGTGACGATGAGGTAACGGGATGGAGGCTCATCAGGACTTCAGTTCTAGCAGCACTGGGATGATCTTTAGGAACTGGACCAGGGTTCTGCAACCTTTGGACCATCTACAGTCACTGCTCCTAATCTTTTAAACCTTAGAAATAAAATATTGGTTCTTAGACAATGTTAACATTTTCTATGGTGGAAATGAATCAAACATAAAACAGTTAAATGCTCTAAAAGCTCTGGTGTCAAACTGTTTCCAGAAAGTGGATGCTGGTTTTTTTGCAGCCAAACAGTTTGACACCAGTCTGAGTCACAGATGATCACATCTCTACATAGAACCATTCTAGAGAGTTTGAATCTGCTGAATGACTCAGATGAAAAAGCTTCAGATTGAGAGAAAGAGGTAATTCTTAGAGCTGAAACCAGGATCCAGCCAGCCCTCTCTGGAGCCGCTTTGACGTTCTTGCTCTAAAGGATTCATGTTTTTGGTTCTGGTCTTCCTGCAGGTGTGGTGGACTTGAATCTGTGCAACATCCGGGACATGGAGGTGATCGAGCTGAGCAAGCGAGCGAGCGGCCAGGCCTTTGAGGTCATTCTGAAGCCGCCCACCTTCGATGGCGCCCCCGAGCTGAGGGCCACCACACCTCCTCGTCAGAAACCATCACTGGAGGAGATCCAGAAGAAGCTGGACGCCGCTCAGGAAAGGAGGAAGGTGGGTGGATTCTGAAGTGTTTCCTGCATTCTAACTCACCAATCACAGGGCAGCATCAAAGGTCTCCTGATTAAAGATCTCAGCTTGAACCGCCCCAGTTAACCCTGTCCTCTGGCTCCCCCTAGTGTCACGAGGCGGAGCTGCTGAAGCATCTGGCTGAGAGGAGGGAGCATGAACGGGAAGTTGCTCAGAAAGCTTTGACCAAAGAGCGCCAGGAGCATCGCATCAACACCAAGCAGGCAGTGATGCACCTGAACGCATCGCAGGAGAAGGAGGTGAGGGTTGGAGATAACCCCCCCCCCCCCCCCCCCCCACAGCCGCTGACTCCCACCAGCTTCCATTGGTCTCTAATGAAAGTCTGTCTCTGTCTGTCTTTCAGGACAAACACAGTGTGGAGGTGAGGATGAGGATGGAGGACCTCTGGGTGGGCGGAGTCAAACACAGACCTAAACGTGAACAAACCTGAGGAAACTTAATCATCTTATATGATGATGCTTTATTGCCTTCGATGAAGCTTTGGAGCCCTGAAGGCCCGTTAACGACATTTAAGGACTTAAGATAAAACTTCACTGATGATAGAAAATAAAATTAGCTGTTTTAAAAGAAAATATTTTTGATATTTACAGGTTTAAACTTGAAATATACATTCTAAGTTAAACAGTTTCCATTTATTTCAAATAGAAATCAAATTTGTGGCTTTATTTTCATATAATAACCACACAATTTGTTTCAGAGATTTATTGTTTCATGGCCTTGAATGACGAGGAGCTAAACCAAAGAGAACCTGCGTAACTATTGGAGAAGAAATCTGTGATCGTAAACTAAAACAACACTAAACACTGAATATTCAAACATTTTTAATGAAAAACGAAAAACATATGATGATACTTTCCTTTTACGCTGCATGCGCTTTTAAAGAGAGATGGTTTCAAAAGACGTTTTTAATTATTGCATTAGAAGAACTTGATAGAAATGGCAACATCTGAATATATTTATAAAAATGTATTGAAACTTTGGTCCATCACTGTTCTTTTTTTCCCGCCAGCTTGCTAACTTTACTTCCTGTTTATATTAGCCAAGCGTAAAATCAACAAATGACGACATTATGCATTTCTTCGCCTCAGTAATTCACTCCAGTGGATGGAAACAGTCTAATTTGCATTTTCTTTTTAAAAACCTTTTACAAGTCTGCTCCAATTGAATTATATTTGAATGGAAACACGACTTGTTTCTCTGCAGTCTTTCAGCAGTTACAATGTAACTACAATCCTGTATGTTTTGGCGCCAGGGGCGGGGCTTATCTGAAGTACATGCATTTATACAGCGACTCCCGATACACACACTCTCCCTGGGAACTATCCCAGCCCTACATAAAGGACTTTCTGACACAAATATCTGGCAGAAATAAAACTTGATTTCATTTCCTGTCCGGTTAATCTATCTTCTACTGGTCAGATGGATCTCCTAATAACAGCAATCCTCCCCTTCATGCCATGAACACCTGCAGTAAAACTCATTAAGAGAAACGAGCAAACAGCACTGCGTTCCTTCTTTATAAATAAAAAAAAAGGTAGTCTTTTTGGTGTTGGAGAGAAACTGTTAGTCTGACCTGAGATGTTCCGGCTGAAATTCATGAGATCCGGTCGTCAATTAGCTGAATTTAAAACATCCTGGATGAATTGGCCGTTTATGAAGCTAATGAGGATAATTAAGCAGCAACGGGAGCCTTCCGTTAATTGAAGGTAAATGATGAGCAATACTAGAAATAACTGAAGGACCATGAAGGAGCCTTTAGCTTAGCCCCGCCCACAGTTTCCGCAGTAGACGTGTTGCCATCAACGCACATTTTACATTTTTGCATTAGAAGAGCATTTCTTAACCTCGCTAAAAAAGTTTTTATGCTTGTTGATTTGTTTTATACGAAAAAAAGGATTAATGCGTTAATTGGAGATTAAAACACGTTTAATAAGTTCTGCAGTTGCTAACGGTAACCTCACTAGACAGATCAGGTGTTGCTGGCGTCCTGAATGCCGGTGTTCTGTCAGGTGATCATACCCCATCAGACCAGCATACCCATAGTGAATATGAACGCGCAAGACGTCAGATTTGTGTTTATTCCTTTAGTGATGTACAAAGAAAATATTTAATTATTTACTTTTGGTGTTTTATGAAGCGTATGGCGAGCTAACCTTAAATTTTTTTTTTTTGTAAATGACTAAAGGAATAAACGCCCATTGAGGTAGTTTAAAGTCTATCTTTTAAACAAAACTAAAGGGATAAACGCAAATCTGATGTCTTGCAAATGCGTGTTGACTGTAGGTATGCTCATTCGACAGAAAACCGGAATTAGACTCACACAACGTCTCTGGAAGGTGCGTACCATCGCTAATACTAGCCAACGCCATTAAGTTCGTACAACTTGCTGATTGTAAAACATTCATTAAAATCTTGCTGCATTACTAGTGCAGCAACAAGTTGTAGCTAGCTAGCTAACTACCACTTGTTGCAACCTAAACGTGTGACGACATTATGCTTGGCATCACGATTAATTTGCTCCAATGAATAGAAGCATAACTTGCATTTTATTGTTTTCAGCATTTAAAAAGTTTGCTCAAAATTCACATGTGGTTGTAAACGTGAGTAATGCAAGTATTCTCTGGTTTAGCTCTATAGATACTGTCTGGGGTCCGTTGTTATGCGACTTTAATGTTGCCTGGAAAATGGCTCCCAGACGGTACGCAATGCTCTGCGGCTAGCTAGCTTTTTTTTGTGTGGTGGCAAATCCACCTATAGCGTATTACTGCCACCTAAAGGGCTGGAGGAGGAACAGTTGTCTGTTACTGCGACCAACAATCTAGTATCTATTTGATTTTAACTTTTTTTTATAGGGCGATTGTGAATATGCAAATAATTGTTAACTGTTAGTCGGACGATAGAACAAATATGTTAGCACAGCTGATGCGGCTTCTTTGGGGTTTTTAGTGCATCACTGCAGTAGAGCAGTCAGATAAAATGTTTGGATTCTTCTTCTTCCTCTCAGATGTAAACCCAGCAGCATGGCGGGGGGGCAATGAGTGAAATGGAGTTCTTTCTGTCAAACTGACAGACCGTAGTAGCCACGTTAGCTCAGCCATGTCTTTGTCCAAATACGTCGTCTCCTTTTTTTTTAGGGCTTTCAGCACTAAGTCGCCCAAATATCCAAGGCAGCGCGTTTCACTCTAGTGAGCTTCATGTTCCTCTGCTACTGGTTTGACTTCAGATAGCCGGCGGTTTCATCGTACGGCATGAGCTGTAGCTGGCGCAACAAAAAAAAAAAAACGCACAGTGTACGCCCGCCATAACATCGGAGCCCTGACTGTGTAATATTTCTGTCTGTTTTGGTGAATGGATGCTCACCTCCTCCCTCTGCTCTGTTCCAGGTGTCATGATGGCCTGATCACAACACAAGCTGAACTTTATTCAGATGCCGATTTTGAGGGCAGTTTACCCGACTGACGAGCTGGGAAACCGACGCTGCTAACACTGGAAGCGTGACTGGAAGGGGTCAGAGCAGAACCAGATAGAGTGGAGGACTGCTCCACCAGGACTCTGAAGAGATGAACTTCTCAATTTGAGAACCGCAGCAGATTAAGCCATCACTGGGTGGTTTTTCTGTGGCTTTTCTGTGCTTTGTTGCCATGCCAACAGTGCCAATGCCTTCACGTATGACTGTGACTGAACATGCATCAACAAGAACCCAACACATCTCGAAGGAATCAGCAGCGCTGCCTGAGACTCTGGTGAAGAACAGAAGTTTTCTCACGCCCACCCAGACTTTCATGTATCAGTTTCAGATGTTTCAGATGAAATTGAAAACACTGCTGTTCAAATTCTGATGAGTGGAACCGAACACGGATTCAAAGAGGTTAAAAACCTCCAAGAACAAAGAAAAGAACATTCCCATTTTCCTTAACACAGCAGAACATGACCGAGGGCATCTGAATCCGAGTCCGAGTGAAAGTAAGGCGGTGGTTCTGGTCCAGTCTGGGTTCAGGATCTGCAGTTCTGTAGGTTTAGAGAATCTCTGCAGATGTGGCTTTCTCCTCTGCTTCTGCAGAAGGTCAGGAGATGCTCCTGACTTCAGATTGGCTGGTCTGTCTCCTGTTGCCTGGCAACTACAGCCTGCAGATTCTGTTAGCTTAACATTATATTCAGAGATTAGTCCTAAAAAACCAAAGAGATGAGGTGTGGGACAGAGACCCGAGTCAGACATCAGCAACTAGTCGCCCAACAGAGACCCGAGTCACAGACATCAGCAACTAGTCGCCCAACAGAGACCCGAGTCACAGACATCAGCAACTAGTCGCCCAACAGAGACCCGAGTCACAGACATCAGCAACTAGTCACTCAACAGAGACCCGAGTCACAGACATCAGCAACTAGTCGCCCAACAGAGACCCGAGTCACAGACATCAGCAACTAGTCGCCCAACAGAGACCCGAGTCACAGACATCAGCAACTAGTCGCCCAACAGAGACCCGAGTCACAGACATCAGCAACTAGTCGCCCAACAGAGACCCGAGTCACAGACATCAGCAACTAGTCGCCCAACAGAGACCCGAGTCACAGACATCAGCAACTAGTCGCCCAACAGAGACCCGAGTCACAGACATCAGCAACTAGTCGCCCAACAGAGACCCGAGTCACAGACATCAGCAACTAGTCGCCCAACAGAGACCCGAGTCACAGACATCAGCAACTAGTCGCCCAACAGAGACCCGAGTCACAGACATCAGCAACTAGTCGCCCAACAGAGACCCGAGTCACAGACATCAGCAACTAGTCGCCCAACAGAGACCCGAGTCACAGACATCAGCAACTAGTCGCCCAACAGAGACCCGAGTCACAGACATCAGCAACTAGTCGCCCAACAGAGACCCGAGTCACAGACATCAGCAACTAGTCGCCCAACAGAGACCCGAGTCACAGACATCAGCAACTAGTCGCCCAACAGAGACCCGAGTCACAGACATCAGCAACTAGTCGCCCAACAGAGACCCGAGTCACAGACATCAGCAACTAGTCGCCCAACAGAGACCCGAGTCACAGACATCAGCAACTAGTCGCCCAACAGAGACCCGAGTCACAGACATCAGCAACTAGTCGCCCAACAGAGACCCGAGTCACAGACATCAGCAACTAGTCGCCCAACAGAGACCCGAGTCACAGACATCAGCAACTAGTCGCCCAACAGAGACCCGAGTCACAGACATCAGCAACTAGTCGCCCAACAGAGACCCGAGTCACAGACATCAGCAACTAGTCGCCCAACAGAGACCCGAGTCACAGACATCAGCAACTAGTCGCCCAACAGAGACCCGAGTCACAGACATCAGCAACTAGTCGCCCAACAGAGACCCGAGTCACAGACATCAGCAACTAGTCGCCCAACAGAGACCCGAGTCACAGACATCAGCAACTAGTCGCCCAACAGAGACCCGAGTCACAGACATCAGCAACTAGTCGCCCAACAGAGACCCGAGTCACAGACATCAGCAACTAGTCGCCCAACAGAGACCCGAGTCACAGACATCAGCAACTAGTCGCCCAACAGAGACCCGAGTCACAGACATCAGCAACTAGTCGCCTCAACAGAGACCCGAGTCACAGACATCAGCAACTAGTCGCCCAACAGAGACCCGAGTCACAGACATCAGCAACTAGTCGCCCAACAGAGACCCGAGTCACAGACATCAGCAACTAGTCGCCCAACAGAGACCCGAGTCACAGACATCAGCAACTAGTCGCCCAACAGAGACCCGAGTCACAGACATCAGCAACTAGTCGCCCAACAGAGACCCGAGTCACAGACATCAGCAACTAGTCGCCCAACAGAGACCCGAGTCACAGACATCAGCAACTAGTCGCCCAACAGAGACCCGAGTCACAGACATCAGCAACTAGTCGCCCAACAGAGACCCGAGTCACAGACATCAGCAACTAGTCGCCCAACAGAGACCCGAGTCACAGACATCAGCAACTAGTCGCCCAACAGAGACCCGAGTCACAGACATCAGCAACTAGTCGCCCAACAGAGACCCGAGTCACAGACATCAGCAACTAGTCGCCCAACAGAGACCCGAGTCACAGACATCAGCAACTAGTCGCCCAACAGAGACCCGAGTCACAGACATCAGCAACTAGTCGCCCAACAGAGACCCGAGTCACAGACATCAGCAACTAGTCGCCCAACAGAGACCCGAGTCACAGACATCAGCAACTAGTCGCCCAACAGAGACCCGAGTCACAGACATCAGCAACTAGTCGCCCAACAGAGACCCGAGTCACAGACATCAGCAACTAGTCGCCCAACAGAGACCCGAGTCACAGACATCAGCAACTAGTCGCCCAACAGAGACCCGAGTCACAGACATCAGCAACTAGTCGCCCAACAGAGACCCGAGTCACAGACATCAGCAACTAGTCGCCCAACAGAGACCCGAGTCACAGACATCAGCAACTAGTCGCCCAACAGAGACCCGAGTCACAGACATCAGCAACTAGTCGCCCAACAGAGACCCGAGTCACAGACATCAGCAACTAGTCGCCCAACAGAGACCCGAGTCACAGACATCAGCAACTAGTCGCCCAACAGAGACCCGAGTCACAGACATCAGCAACTAGTCGCCCAACAGAGACCCGAGTCACAGACATCAGCAACTAGTCACTCAACAGAGACCCGAGTCACAGACATCAGCAACTAGTCGCCCAACAGAGACCCGAGTCACCGCCTTGCTGCTCTATTTAGATTCTGATGAAATTATTCAAGCAACATTTATTGTATCTCCATGAAAATATCCTGAAATGAATGAATGAATGAATGAATGAATGAATGAATGAATGAATGAATGAATGAATGAATGAATGCAGACTTGTGGCTCTCAGCTGCTTTTAACTCCATCATTGTAAACTTACAGGATGTGTCTCAGATGTACAGAAATCAGTTTATATTTTAAAGAATAAAGCAAGACGGCTTTATATGTTTGCTACTTTGGACTTTATTGACTCGGCACATCTAGACAATAAATAGACTCACATACATAAAATAAATAGCTGCTGAAGATCATTAAACACTTAAATAAAACTTAAATAAGCATAAATAAAACACAAAAAGCCTTCTGATGATTAATTTAGTGGTGTAGTTTCTCTAAACACAAAAACAGAAATTAAACAGAAGGCGGTTGTGAGAGCGACATGAACTCTACCGACCGGACTCATCATGAAACCTTCAGTACATTTCTGATCAATGCTGAAATCGATTGCTACGGTTTGGGGGTCATTTTTGTTGACCCCCAAGCCTTCACTCCTGGATGTGGACCACATGTCGGACACAGGTGCAGCCAAACGGAATCAGCCGAGTCTCCAGGCGGTAATGGTAGTTCTGCTCCGTTCCCGCCGACTTGACCCGCCGCAGCACCAGAGCCTGGAACATAATGGGTCTGGACCTCAGGTTCAGGTCTTCCTTCCCCTCCAGGTCCAGGCATCCATGCAGCAAACACTGAGCCTCTGAAATTGTCGGTGGGAACAGAGACTCATCTCTTGACATACTGGGGACAGAGAAGGGGGCAGGTTAAAAAATAATAATCATCCCAGGTTTCTACCTTTAACACACCTGGTGGTCTGATACTCACTTGTACGTCCACGGTGAGATGGAGATGTTCTCCAGCGGTCGGATGTTCCTGCTGGGTACTAAAGCCTTGGGGTCCAGATGCAAGGGGATGGTTTGATCTGGAAAGCCATTGGAGTGCTTGCTATGGTGCACCGAAGCCGCCTCCGTGCTCCTCACCATCATCATCACTACCACAACGACACAACTGACGGCCTGAGGAAGATGAGACACGGTTAAAACTAAACCTTAACTGGAGGACCTCTCTGCTGCCACCACCAATCATCTCATACCCTTCAAAATAAATCCAATAAAGTTGGTATCTGCCTGGTTTGATCAGAAGTGTCCAAATATCACATGCAGGGAAAATGCTAATGCTGTCAGGGGAAGAAAATTCTCTAACACCAGTTCTCATTTCTAAAACTCGAACCTGCCTGGAGGTCCAAAACGGAAAACCATAAACCAGATTCAAATATTAGACGGTATTCAAACATCAGGAAGAATAAAGCTAAATCTCCACATTCGATTTGCAATAATAAAAGAACACAGAAAGAACTCGTCATTTGTACGACGCTGGGCTGATTCTGAAAAGAATAAGTTCTGCTGGTTTCCTCACCGTCATATTGATGCTTCTTGATGTTGGAAACATGCTGGTTTGGATCTCTGGTCTTGGTCTGACTTCCTCTGTGTTTGCTTTTAAAACCCTGAAGGTTCCCACGGCTCAGCTGGAGGTCTGGTTAGAAGCTGCTGGTGCTATCTTCTTCTTCCTCCTCCACTGACTGGGGTTCTGATAAGCACTGGTTTAAACAGTTGGGTTTTTATGCGGGTTGGCGCCACGACCACACTTTGTATTGTGATGTCACCACCTGAGTGTCTTTGATCCTCCTCTCTAAACCGCAGCGACCCGGCTGACAAGGCCTGAACGTCGACCCACTTTCAGATTTAACTTTGAGGATCAAATATTCTGCATCGAACATTAACTGCAGATTTTCTAGGTCACATTATGATCTGCAGAATCCTGTGTAGCTTTGGGTCTAAATTCTTCCACCGATTTTTTAACCGTCTTAGGGGAACACCGAGCCTCTGAACCCCTCTGAACCAGCCCAGTCAGACCGGTTCCTGCTGCTGCTGCAGGTTTAGGCTTTCAGAGCTGTTCTGGGTTTCCTGCGGGTTCACTTACAATATTCTTCAGATGCTCCAGGTTTCGCCGACAGTTCAATGGTTCAAACTGAGAGCCGCTACAAAGTCTTCATACTTCCTGATTTACTGTTTCTGTCAACCCAAATGTTTCAGATTAGCAAATGAATAAAACCTGAAAATATTAGCTAAGAAAAGACAATAAGCTGTTTGAAAGTCACCGTTTCTTTCATCAAGAAAAAAAAAATGACCTGAACCGGCCTGAAACCGGTCCAAAACTAATCATCCCCTAAACCTTGATACGGCACACCTGAACCCAAGTTTCTGACACCACAAATACCAATAGGCTACCATACGAGTCCATGTCATGTCAAGGCATTTTACAGAGACAATTTAAACAGGATCAACCACAACTGAGACCAAGTATTTGATATCAATGGTACAGAGTCATGGACAGAGTCTCTTACATCACTAAGACTGAGATGCAGAGTCTCTGATATTAAAGGAATAGTACACCCAAAACATGATTAGCCTTCATTTTCTACTCACCCCCATGCTGAACAACACTCTGGAGTACTTTTTTGATATCTCAAATGCATCTGGAGATCTGGGAGGCTTCTTGCTGTCTGCTGACATTCAAATAATGGAGGTCTATGGTGCCCGAGACAGAAAGGTTCATAAAAGTCCACAAAAAACGTGTCAATATTCCTCCATACTGCTCGTCCAATGTATTCCAAGTGTCCTGAGTGGGTAGCGTCCAGAATTTACTCGAAACGAAGTCATTTAGAATGTTTTTAGAGCATAAACAGTAGTGTATAGGATTTCCTAAAAGCGCGCGCCTGCGAGTTCACTACTCTACGGAAACCGCGGCAGACCAAACCAGATGAAAGTGCGCATTCAGCTCGGCAAAGAACTCATGCTCTTCCTCAACACTCAAGTCCTCAGACATTTTTCTTTCGTTGTTTCTTTCTTTGCACAGGTAAACAGCACATTTCTTCTTCTACGCTTGCATTATCGGCAGAGCAGACGCTGAATGCGAACTTTCATCTGGTTTGGTCTGCCGCGGTTTCCGTAGACTCGTGAACGCGCTTTTAGGAAATCCTATACACTACTGTTTATGCTCTAAAAACATTCTAAATGACTTAGTTTCGAGTAAATTCTGGACGCTACCCACTCAGGACGCTTGGAATACATTGGACGAGCAGTATGGAGGAATATTGACACGTTTTTTGTGGACTTTTATGGACCTTTCTGCCTCGGGCGCCATAGACCTCCATTATTTGAATGTCAGCAGACAGCAAGAAGCCTCCCAGATCTCCAGATGCATTTGAGATATCAAAAAAGTACTCCAGAGTGTTGTTCAGCATGGGGGTGAGTAGAAAATGAAGGCTAATCATGTTTTGGGTGTACTATTCCTTTAAGTGACCCGGTTCAGGTAGACCGGTCCTTGGAGGATGCAGCCTCTGACAGCACTGAAGCCGAGACACACAGTTGGTCGTGAGTGTTTAACATCACTGGTCACTTGCCCTCCCCATATCGATACTCTGACATCACTGGTACGGAGTCCTTTGCACCACTGGTACCAAGTCGCTGACATCACTACCACCGAGTCTATGATATGACTGGTACTAAGTCTCTGATATTACTCATTCAGACTCCCTTAAAAAACTAGTAGCAAGTCTATAAGTCAACTGTGACTAAGTCTCTGACATCACACTGGAATAACGATCTAGAAATGAGTAAAGATTTCTTAAATTAAGTGTATTTACCCTTAATTTGAGCAGGTAAATGAGATAGTTTGCCAATAGAATGTGTATTTTTACTCTTAAAATAAGATCATTAGATAACATGCACTTGAAATAAAACAATGCAATTGTGTTTTCCTATGTTTTCTTGTTCTATTGGCAAAATGTCTCTTACCTCCTCAATCCAAGAACAAATGCCTTTATTTTAAGAAAAAATGACCTATCTAGATTTCAGTTTTTTTTCCAGTGCATTTGTGCAGAGTTTCCAGCTCCACTAGGACCTTACATCTCTGGTACACAGACTTTAATCTTATTGGTGCCGAATCCTTAACATCATAAGTCTCCTTGGCATGGCTGGTACTGAGTCTCTGACACCACTGGGATCTAATCTCTGTCTTCACTGGTACCCAGTCTCTGAAATAACTGGTAAACTGTATCTGACGTCATTGCTACCATCGTCTGACACCACTGGTACAGAGTCCCTTACACCACTGTTTTCAGCAATTCCAGCAAGAATTTCAGGTTCAGAAATAGCAAAGAAGTCCAGACCATGACTGACTCCAGGTCTGAGGTTCTGTTTCTTAAATTTTGATTTCATTTGGTTTATTTTAGTTTTATTTTAGATGCAATAGAGTGCTGACTTTCTATAATGGTCCAATTTAGTCTTGTAAGACCACATCATATTTTCGCAGTTGTCCAGACAACCACTAAGCTTTATTTATCATCATAAATTTAGGATAGGCCTTTGTTTTCTTTTGGGCCAGAAATGGTTCTAGTCCTGGAGCTATCCTACAGAGCCAATTTTTGCCTAGTCTTTCTCCCTTTTTAGTAAATCATGACCCCTGAATTTAGCAGAGACACTGAGGCCTGCAGAGCTTTAGATGTTGCAGGAACTCCTGGATGAATCCTGGATGAGCACTAGAAGTAATCCTGGAAGGTCAGTCACTGAATAGAATTGATATTGATTGATATTAACTTTCCTCACAAATACAAAGCAACAAAATAAACTCTCTTCATTTAACCCATCCCTTTGGGGTGCACTGGGCTGCCGTTGTGTGGCATGGCAGGGTCTTGCTCAGGGACCCAGGGTGGTAACCCGTGGGAGTAGGGCTTGAACTCAGAACCTCTGGGACCGAAGTGCGATGCTCTAACCAGTTGGCCACCTCAATCCCTGTTAGAGTGGTTCTCTGGAGGTTCTGATAAATGTCAGTGTTTGTCTTAGGTTGAAAGGGGAATGTGTTTCAGGTTCCTATTCCCTGCTTCATGGTTGTCAGAGAGTAGGATGGCTCCGCTCTGTGCTGCTAGAGCAGGACTAAACAAGCACCATTTCATCGTGAATGTGTCAGAACATCAGCTGTTCCTTATGTTTCTCTTCTGGTATGGCCTTGTTCAGGTCCAGGTTCCAGTCCGGTCCATAAAGCTACTTGGTTCTCTGTTTTCATAGAAACAGAATGAAGGTTTTCACTCACTGCTCGGTGTACCCCAGGCCTTCTTGGATGTGGTTGCATGTAAACAGAACAGGAGATATCAGATGAAGATAATCTGAAAACAGACGTGAAGGTTTCAGTTCTGAGTCACATCATGATCTCACATCATGTCAGAGGTTCCATCTTGGGTTGGTTGGTGCCAAAGACTCGATGCAGCAGAGAACCCAAGCTGAGCCCAGGTCTCTGTGGAGGGTCCCTCTTTGCTGCCTGTGGGGCTCCTGGGTCTCAGACGGTGTTTGGTCTTTGGGGGGCCCTCGGCATCTCTCTGGGGATGGTGTGGGTTCCTTGACTAATTCCAGTTGGACTCCTCAGTGAAACCTGATTGGTCACCAGTGAGGATCCAGTGGTCCTTGCCTATTGGACTCTCTGAAGTCCCCTAGGTGGTGCAGGATGCGGCCTGCTGCCTCTCTGACCTGGTTTCCAGTCAGGCTGTGACTCAGGTCGCTGAGAGTGCTGAGTTATCACTGCATGCTTTCTGTTTATGCGGCCCACGCTGCCAGCTCCACCGTGACCTGCTTCCATTCACAGCTTATCTCTGATCTCAACGACTTCCTGCTTGTTGCATCAGGCTGCAGCCGACAAATGCTCTCGTGCAGCTGGAGGGATCAGCGCTTAAAACTTGCAGCTCCTTTTAGGGATATTAAAGTGGTTTTGTTTATGACCCCGAGCTGCCTGAACTCAACTTTAAACAAACGCTTCTAGCCGACACCAGGAAGCAGCCTGTGGTAGTTTCAGAGAGTTTCACGATTAAAGGTAAAGTTCTGTAATGCAGGATGTCCTCTTTTATTCTGACAATACAAACCTGCTTATCACATAGAAAAACTGCTCCATGCATTCATTCCTTCATTTCTTACCATCAGAGAGTTCAGCTAAAAGCATCCAGCAGATTCAAAACCCTGCAGAAAAATGTCTAATGAAAATTAAAAAGTTGCTATGATTTATTTTGGCTTCCTTTCATTGGTTTCATGGTAAATCTAGAATAAAAAATCTAACTATGTTCTTTTTTTGTGCACTTTTTCAGATGATTTTCATGAACAAAGAGTAAAAAAACATTCAAACATATCTATAGAAACACATAAACTGAACCTTTGTAAGACACTTAGAAGAGCTCTCGGATGTTTCTGCCGTTTCATCTGACACCTACTGATGTAAATTCTGCTGACTGGATCTGATCTGGAACGGAAAACAACTGTCTACACGATGCCTGGCTGCAGACAGAGCAGAAAACAGACTAAGACCAGGTTCCACGAATCTGGATGGAGAGGAGGAAAGAATTAAATATCAATGACAGAAGCGTGTCAAAAAGGTCTGTGGTCTCCATTATTTGCAAGCAGAAGAAGTTCTTGATGAGACCAAGAAAGCAGTGGTTCTGAAAAGCAAAGCTTCTGGTCTCCTTCTTGAGATGA